CAAACAGGTGCATCTATTTTAAAAAATCTAAATCAAGATGTCTTTACGCCCCACACCAACATGGATTTGTTAATTTAGGAGGCGGGCTTCGACCTGCCCATCACGGCAAACCAGGACTGAGAAGGATACAACATCACCACAGAAAGTTGAGAAAGACCAAAATACTCGATATAAAAGAAAATATCTCCACACTACAATCGAAGTCAGGTTTTCTGTGTGCGACGGCGAAGCGCCTAACCTTTACACCACACATGCACATATTCCGGTTACAAGATCGTTTAGTTTTAGTAAGAGTTTTACGGCCCTTGCAACACAATAAGGTCATATAAGTGCCGAAGACTAGAGGAGTTACAAGAGAGTAACAAACACAAAAAATAAGGAGGGGAGATATGGACGATATGTTTGATAAGAAATATGAAGGAAACCACACCAGAGATCGTGAATGGAGTTACGTCAAAAGAACCTGGAATGACCGAAATTCTGATGACCTAAACTCCTAACTACTAGACTTCCACACGTAAACAAATAGGCTACCTCCGCTCCCTTTCCCGAGAACATACACGTTTATGTGTAGCAATCACGTAACATTATAGCATGAACTCTGGTAATGGGCCATTCCGTGTAAAATAAAACCGCAGCGACACACGAAACGCACAGATGATGATTGATGACGTGATAAAAAATCTAAGTAGTGAAAGAGCCATTATTTTTGTTCTTTATTAATAATACTAGTGAATTTTAGTATTTGGTTTTGTTTGAGACAGCCTTTCTCTTTAAAAAAAATAGACCCCCCCCCCCCCCCCGAAAAAAACCGGTATTACTTAGAACCTTTTAAATGGGTCATCATCCCCACGTTTTAGGTGTCAATGCAGTTTCATTTAGTTTTAGTAAACGTTTTACGGCACTTGCAATACGATTAGGTCATATATGATATATCAGTGCCGAAGGTTAGGGGTGTTACAAGAAAGTAACAAACACAAAAAAGGGAGGAGGAGAGATAAGAACGACAGGATGTCAGATAGAAAAGGAGGGGCAAACCACACCAGAGCACCCGCCAACCACCCACTTATTATTGTTTCATTTGTTATGGAATGGCCCATACAAAGAATGCATGACGACCATGCACTTTGCGACCCACAAAACGCCAGCATCCTCAAAGATTGATTCAACTCGATCAATCATTGTCAAGTAGACTGCAGGTACACCGTGCGACACCCCTACAAAGGAAACGTCCGCCGCGGAAGTATTGAGGGAAGCTACACGCATCCGTGAGGGATTACACACATTAGTGTATTAAAAATACAGGAAAAAGAATAAGAAAAGGACTCCTTTCATGCCCTGTTCCCTTTTTTGCGCACCGTTGAGTGGATACATAATTGCATATTACGACAAAGGAGGGCAAACGACAAAACACTCAATGTGAGCATTTTTCATCACCAAAGCTGGTAACAGTAGATCAGAAAAAATTTGACCAAGGCTAAATATATTATTGGCGTACACACACACACGCGCGCGCGCACACACACACACGCACACACACACACACGCACACACACATACACACACACATACACACGCACAAACTCGATGTGTGCGTACGCGTGTGTCTGC